GAGAAAGGCTTTCTTATCTCTCCTTGCTATTCTTCAGAACTCTGCATTCAGATGGGAATATCTTTCCTTTTTTCCTTTGCTTTTCACTTCCCTTGTTTTCCCATCTATTTGTAAGACTTCCTCAGACAGCCATTTTGCTTTTTTGCATTTTTTTTTCTTGGGGATGGTTTTGATTCCTGTCTCCTGTACAATATCAAGAACCTCCATCCATAGTTGACCAGGCACTTTGTCTATCAGATCTAGTCCTTAAATCTATTTCTCACTTCCACTGTATAGTCATAAGGGATTTGATTTAGGCCATACCTGAATGGTCTAGTGGTTTTGTCCACTTTCTTCAATTTCAGTCTGAATTTGCCTATAAGGAGTTCATGATCCAAGCCATACTCAGCTCCCAGTCTTGTTTTTGCTGACTGTTTAGAGCCTCTCCATCTTTGGCTAAAATGAATATAATCAATCTGATTTTGGTATTGACCATCTGGTGATGTCCATGTGTAGAGTCTTCTTTTGTGTTGTTGGAAGAGGGTGTTTGCTATGACCAGTGCCTTCTTTTGGCAGAACTCTGTTAACCTTTGCCCTGCTTCATTCTGTATTCCAAGGCCAAATTTTCCTGTTACTCCAGGTGTTTCTTGACTTCCTACTTTTGCATTCTAGTCCCCTATAATGAAAAGGACATCTTCTTTGGGTGTTAGTTCTAGAAGGTCTTATAGATCTTCATAGAACCGTTCAACTTCAGCTTCTTCAGTGTTACTGGTCCAGGCATAGACTTGGATTATTGTGATATTGAATGGTTTGCCTTGGAAATGAACAGAGATCATTCTGTTGTTTTTGAGATTGCATCCAAGTACTGTATTTTGGACTTTTTTTGACTATGATGGCTACTCCATTTCTTCTAAGGGATTCCTACCTACAGTAGTAGAGACCTTTAGAGAAGTACTATTCAGGGCCCATTAAGGAAATGGAATGTTCTCTAATCCTTTATGGCATTTTTCATTGGCTGAAAGAAAACCTATAGTTTGAGCAACCTGACCTGCATATGGGTGCTGTGATAAGGAAAGCCCTGTTAGGCTTACCAAGCACCCTATTTCCAGTCCTACTTAGCACAAAATATTCTGTATCATATAGGAACCCTAAATAAAACACCAGTATATTTATTTAGCATGAATCTTCTGTTTTTTTCCTTATCATACACATATAATTTGTAATTTGTTGAGTGTAAGAAGATAGCTAAGGGGATTTCCCTGGTGGTCCAGTGGTCCCAGTGCAGGAAAGCAGGGTTTAATCCCTGATCAGGGAACTAGATCCCACATCCTGCAACTAAGAACTCTCATGCCACAATTAAAGATCCTGCATGCTACAACTAAAAAATTAGAATGCCCCAACAATGACCTGGCATAGCCAAATAAATATTAAATGAATAAATATTTTTAAAAAGAAGGTAAATATAGGCATGATATTTAAAAGTATGAGAATCTTTTTTTCATATTACATTATAGTGATATTAATATAATACTCAAGATTTGAAAAAAATACATGTGTATTTAATCCAACAACTTAAGTTTATGATTCTATTATTTTTTAGTCTAGATATCACTTTCATTGGATTTCATATGTTAGGGTATGAGATGAAAGGGAAAGTATACAAGGTGTTTTTCAATACCACCTATGTGCTGTCAGTGAAAAAAATAAGACAAAATCTACATGAGATGGAGAGCTTTGCACATTTATATATAGCAAGGTAAAACAATAATGTTAAAGTTTCTAAGAAAATGAGAAAATACTTTTAAAAACAATTCATGAAGGATCAACTTTGGGTTGGTGTGCTGAGGACCTTAGTCATAGTTCTCCCACAAAAAACAAAGAAAATACTGGCAAAAACCCTAAAATCATTTCAGAACCCTGGAAAATACCCAACACGGAAACAGAACAAATTGGAAATAGTCTATGAAAGAGAAACTGTTGACCCTAGTAACACAGCAGTATCTGTGATGCTTTAACTTCCTCTTTCTCTAGCATCGTGACACAGCAATAACAAAAACTAAAAATAAAAATTTATTTTCAGCCAACAGAAAGGACTGAATTATTCTGTAATTCTGTTAAATGCACCATCCTCAGAAGCACAGTCAATATTGTGCCCAGATTTGATTCTCTCTGGAAAATATGCCTTCTGGGGCGTTATGGCTATTTTACTTAACTCAGAGTTCAGAAAAGGAAGAAGGTAAGGAAATATCCTATCTCAAGGATATTACCAACACAATAAAATTTTGCTGGCAGTGTCACTGGTGTCTAAGATTGTGATTTCAGGCAAACAAACAAAATCTTTGCCAGGAATTTAAAACTAAGCACTGCTGAATAAGATGACCACAAGGAACTTTGAAAAATTTCCACATATTCCTAGGAATTTAAAGCAGTGTACATGCATAAGTCTATGTGCATGCCTAGGAAACACTTGGAAAAATAGAAAGCCTCACACATCTCTAGCATATGTTGAGGTGTTGAGACCCTGTGTAAGCAGGAAGTGAAAGTTAAAGTGTATTGTAAACTTCCTGAAGCTTAAAGCATACTTTCCCACACAACCATTTTTGGCCGGGGGCGGGGGGGGGGGGGGCGGGGGGTAGCAGGGCAGAAAGTGAAAGAAATAAAGGTAGGATATTTTAGAAAACCTTCTGATCAATCACTGATTCTGAGAATCTGATTTGGAATATATCTTGATCAGCCACTGACTAAATTATACTGACCTTGGGTTGATTCTAGGAAGTTAGCTTAACATTAAAATGACTACATAAAAAAATTCTATTAATAGTAGAATTCAGTGACTGCACAAGATCTGAAGAAATAATGGCCAAAAACTTCTCAGATTTGATGAGATGTGAATCTACATTTAAATTTCATGAACTCCAAGAAGAATAAACCTAAAGAGCTTAATACCTAGATGCATCATAGTCAAGCTGAAAAAATTCAAAAGGAAACAAAAATTTAGGAAAGCAGAAAGAATATATCTTATTATATACAAGAAAAGACATGGATGCCAGAAGATAATAAGGTAACACTTCAAAGTATAGAAATTAGAAGACTGTCAACCAAGAATTCTATATCCAGCAAAACTATCCTTCAAAAAATGAAGGAATAAAGACATTTCTAGAACAGCAAAAAGTTAAGAGAATTTGTTGCTAATAGGTTGAAATGTAAGGAAACTACATAGTAAATAAAATTTGCAGAAAGAAATAATGAACATTCATAAAGGGTACTATATAGATAAATATAAAAAAGTACAAACTGTAACTTGTTTGTAATTTTTGTATTCTACCTGATTAAAAAGTGACTACATTAAACAATAATTATAACACTGTATTCATGGACTTATAATATACAAGATATAATTTTCATGACAATAATAATACAAAGAAGGGAGAAGGAAGACAAGTGTATTGGGTCAAAGTTTTGTATACAATTGAAATTAAGTTAGTATTGATCTGAACTGGACTATTGCAAACTCAGATACTAATTTTAACATATATATCAGTTACTGAAGAAATAAATTTAAAAATAATATAACACACACACACACACACGGAAATTTAAATGATAAATGAAGAAGTATCTATTTAATACCAAATTTATAATTATCAAGGAATAGATGAACAAAAACCACATAGAACATATAGGAAAAAAATAGCATGATGCCTGACATAAGTATTACCATTTCAGTAATTACACTGAGTGTAAATGAATTAAACACTCCAAATAAAAGACAGAGATTGACAAAATGAGGGGGGAAAAAGTCAAAACACGATCCAACTACACAAGAGATTCACTGGATGAAAAAACACATTGCTTGAAAATGAAAAAAAGAAATGAAAGAATATATACTATTCAAGTAGTAATGGCCGTGGTCTAAATGTTTGTCTCACCCCCACCTAAATTCCCTGGTGGCTCAGTTGGTAAAGCATCTGTCTACAATGTGGGAGACCCAGGTTTGATCCCTGCATTGGGAAGATCCTCTAGAGAAGGAAATGGCAACCCACTCCAATACTCTTGCCTGGAAAATCCCATGGATGGAGGAGTGTGGTAGGCCACAGTCCATGGGTTCGCAAAAAGTCAGACACTGAGTGACTTTGCTTTCACTTTCACCTAAATTCATGTTTTAAAATCTTAACTTCCAAAGGTGATGGTATTAGTAGGTGAGGCATCTGAAAAGTGTTTTAAGTCATGAGAGTGGAATCTTCACGAATGGGATCAGCACCTTAAACAGGAGGCTCCAAAGAGATCCTTGGCCCCTTCTTCCATGTGAGGATGCAAAAAGAAGTCTGCAACCTGGAAGACAGCCCTCACCTGACTATGCTAAAACCTTGATCTCAGACTTCTAGCCTCCAAATTGTGAGAAATAAATTTTCTGTTGCTTATAAGCAACTCAGTCTGTTATAGCATTATGAATAAGACAATAACCAAAAGATTGCTGGGGTGGCTAGATTAATTCAGGCAAAACACATTTTAAAATGAAAAAGATTTTTGCAGATAGAAACTCTTCTAAGGACAAAAGAAATATAACAATTGTGTGTCTACCTAGAAACAACTCTCCAAATTACATTAAGCTAAAACAGACAGAATTGAGGGAAAAATAGACAATAATAATTGGGGATATCAAAACCACACTTCCGCTCCCTGACCTATACAGGCCTCTGCTATGGGGGTGATGGCCGGTCCTGGTGTCTGAGTGATCCCCTGGGCCCAGCAAGGGGACCAAGTTTCCAGAGCCTTGAAGACAAGGGCTAACACCCCAAAATACGGACTCATTTTTCCACTCTACCCTCATTGGCCGAGCAGCTGCCAAGAACAAAGGTCGCATCTCCTGATACCTGGCAAACAAATGCAGTATTGCCTCATGAACTGATTGCTTCTCTGAGGTGCCCACCAGTGTTTTTGGGGAGAAGCTTCGAGAACAAGTTGAGGAGCGGCTGTCCTTCTATGAGACTGGAGAGATTCCCCGAAAGAATCTGGATGTCATGAAGGAGGCAATGGTTCAGGCAGAGGAAGCGGCTGCTGAGATTACTAGGAAGCTCGAGAAACAGGAGAAGAAACGCTTGAAGAAGGAAAAGAAAAGTCTGGCTGCAATTGCCCTGGCTTCTTCAGAAAATAGCAGTGCCCCGGAGGAGTGTGAGGACACAAGTGAAAGACCCAAAAAGAAGAAAAAGCAAAAGCTCCAGGAGGCTCTTCAGGAGAATGGAATGGAAGACCCCAAAAAAAAGAAATCTCTTTTCCCAAACCCCAAAAAAAAGAAATCTTTTTCCAAGGAAGAGCTAGTTAGTAGTGATCTTGAAGAGACAGCTGGTACTGGAAGTCTTCCCAAGAGGAAGAAATCTTTTCCCAAAGAGGAAACAGTTACTGACCCTGATGAGTCAGAAAACAAGAGGGTCCCCAAGAAAAAGCAGAAATTGTCCAAGGAGGAGCCACTCAGCAGTGGACCTGAAGAGGCTGCTGCCAGCAAGAGCAGCAGCTCCAAGAAAAAGAAAAAGCTCCGAAAGCTATCCCTGGAAAGTTAGAATGGACATCTTCCTACTGGGACATAACTTACAGAGGTATTCCCCATCCCATCCCCTAGAGCCCAATAAAAATAAAAATAAATTAAAAAAAAAAAACAAGACAAAAAACCACACTTTCTATACAAATATAAAATTAGCAAAAGATCATCAAGTATAAAAGACTTAAAAAGTATAATAACTAAACCTAATAGACATTTACAGAAATTCTTATCCAACAACAGGAGAATATACATTCTTTACAAGTGTACATGGAATATTATCCAGCATAAAGATTGTATACTCTGCCACAAAACAAACATCAATAAATTTAATTATTTGAGATCATAAAAATCTATTTTTATTTTTTAAAAGATATGTTTTATGACCACATGGAAGTTAAATAGAAATCAACAATTATAAAATTTGTATTAAATTATGAAAATTCACAAATATGTGGATATGAAACCATACACTATCAAATAAGCAATCAGTCATGAAAGAAATCTCAAGGAAAATAGAAAATATTTTTAGAAGAGTGAGAACAAAAATACAAATTTACCAAAACTGATGAAACACAATTAGAGGAGTGATTTAGATTGAAATTGATAGCTTTTACCACATAATTTTTTTAAAGAAAGGTTTCATATCAAACCCTCTGATTTAAGAAGCTAGAATAATAAAAGCAAATTGAGTGAAAAAACAAACAGAAAGTAGTAAACAATAAAGATTAGAGCAGAAATCACTAAAATGGAGAATAGAAAACAATACAGAAATCCAAAAATTGCTTATTTAAAAAATAAAACTGACAAAACCTTCAGCTAGACTGCTCAAGAACAGAGGGAAGTAGATGCAAATTATTCAAATAAAAAATGAGAATGGGGTCATCATGAAAGGCTCACAGAAATTAAAAAAAAATAATTGTAAGAAATACTATGAATAAATGTAAGCAATGAGTTAGATAACTCAGATAAAAAATTTTCTAGAAAGACACCTGACAGACCTATAATAAATAAAGAGATTGAATTAATAATTCAAATATTTCCTAAAAGAAAAATTCAGGACCAATAGCTTTACCAGTGAATTCTAGAAAACATTTAAAGGAGAACTAAACTCTTTAAAATTTCTCAAATCATTATATGAGGTCCATATGACCTGACATCCAAACCAGACAAAGACATCACACTAAAAAAAAAAAAAAGAAAGAAAGAAGGAAAATCATACATCAATAACAAGATGAGCAATTTTTTATGATAGTAACTCAACATACAAAAATCAATGTATTTTTGTATACCAGCAATAGACAATCCAAAAACAAAATCAAGAACAGAATTCTATGTAAAATAGCATTAAAAAAACTGTAGGAATCACTTTCATCAAAGAAGTGCAAGACTGACTCACTGAAAATCACAAACAATTTTTGAAAGAATTTTTTTAACAATTAACAGAAATGAAAGCTTTCCTATGCTCATGGGTCAGAAAACATATTGCTTAAGGTGATAATACTCCAACGGATCATCAGATTTGATTAAAAACCTTTTAACATCCCAGCTGGTTTATTTTTGGTGGAAATAGACAACTTGATCCAAAAATTCATATGGGAATTGAAGGGACCAGAAAAGCCAAAACAATCCTCAAAAAGAGCAAAATTGAAGTCAGACTTCTTTATTCTAAACTTAGTACAAAATTACAGTAATCAAGACAACATGGTACTGGTACAAGGACAGACATAGACCAATGGAATAAAATTGAAAGTCCAGAAATAATAATAAATTGATTTTCAACAAGGTGTCATGACTATCAAATAGGGAAAGAAGAGATTTTTCAAAAACTTGTGGGTCGATTATATATCTTCAAGAAAAAGAATGAATTTGACACTTACCTCACATAGTATAAAGAATATTAACTCAGATTGGATTATAAACTAAATTTATCACTAAAATTATAAAATTCTTGGAAGAAAACATACATGTAAATTATTATGAACTTGGGATAGGTAATGATATCTTAGGACTCAAAAACACAAATGACAAGAAAAAAAAATAGATGAGTTTGGCTTCTTCAAAATTAAAATCTTTCATGTTTTAAATAATAACATAAAGAAAGCAAAAATACAAACTATAGAATGGGGAAAAAAATCTAACAAGGGACTTGCATCCAAAATGTATAATTAATGTAAAGTACAAGTCAATAATAAAATCAAAACTACCTTAATTTTAAAATGGGCTAAAGCTCCAATAGGCATTTCTCCAAATAATTTATTCTGATGGCCTATAAGCACACGAAAAGTTGTTTAACATCATTAGTTAGCAGGGAAATGGAAATCGAAATCACAGTGAAGTACTACTTCACATTGACTAAAATGGTTATAGTTAAAAAAAACAGAAAGTAACAAACATTGTGGAGAAACTAGAACTACCACAGCACTGCTGGTGGGAATGTAAAATGATGTGATGCCTTGAAAAACATTTCTTCAAAATGTTAAATATAGAGGTATCATGTGACCCCAGTTCTAGTCCTAAGTATGTATGTGTGCTAAGTCACTTCAGTCATGTCCGAATCTTTGCAACCCTATGGACTGTAGCCCACCAGGCTCCTCTGTCCACTGAATTCTCCAGGCAAGAATACTGGATTGGGTTGAGGTGCCTTCCTCCAGCAGATCTTCCCAACCCAGGGATTGAACCTGAGTCTCTTGTGTCTCCTGCATTGGCAGTTGGGTTCTTTACTATTAGCACCACCTGGGGAGCCTCAGTCCTAAGTATATGACCAAGCAAAATAAAAACATTATTCCACACAAAACTTGTACATGACAGTTCATTGAATTATTTATAATAGCTAAGAAGTAACAGAAACAAAACAAATGCACATCAACTGACAAACATCTAAACATTAAATGGTGCATCCACATGATGGAATATTTCACACAACTGATACGTACTACAACAAAGATGAATCTTGAGAGCACTGTGATAAGTGAAATAAACTAGCAATAAAATACTGCATATTTTATGATTCCATTTAAATGAAATATCTAGCATAGGCAAGTCTGTAAAGGCAGAAAGTAAACTAGTAGTTGACCAGGACTAGGGTATTGGGAGGAAGTGGGTAGTGACTGCTAAAAGACACAAGGTTTCTTTCTGGAATAATGAAGATATTCAAAACTTAGATGTAGTGATTATTGTCTAAAACTGTGACTATACTAAACCTATGGAACAATACCCTTTGAATGTGCATTTTGTGATATATGAATTGCATTTCAATTAAGGAATAAAAAAATTCAAGGACAGATATTTAATCCTCCATATTGTGTTTGAAAGCAATGTACTTAATCTTGACTAAATATAATAGAATAATAAAATAGCTGCCCTTTATTGACTGCTTGTTACAACAACTATGTGACTATCAGACAGTGATTTTGGTATATTAAGTCTGATTTTTTAAGACAACCTTGCAGAATGGATAATATTAATCAACATTAGAGATGAGCAAATAGAATGTCATATAGATTAAGTCAGGAGGTCACAGCTAATTACTTGATAAAATGGTAAAGCCAAGATATAAAATCAGTATAAGACCCAAGTTCCATCTGGCCTTGACAAATATCTAGAGCAACATTTCATAAAATGCATTTGCAGTATTGTTGTTGTTCAGTCACTAAGTTGTATCCAACTTTTTGCAACCCATCCAATGCAGCAGAGTGCCAAAAAGCATTCAAGATTTTGTATTTTAAAAGGATTACATGGTTAAGACTGAAAAACACAAAATAAAAAAAAAGTAGCATTTTGTATTGAGAGCCTATAATAAAGAGATTAAGCTAACTCATTCTCTATAGGTGAGCAAATGAGCCCATATTAAGACAATTTTCTTAGCATTCTTAATCTATGGCAGCACAAAAACTGCCTTCCAAATAGATGGTTTATTCCATTATATTGGATTTATACCAAAGACAAGGGCTTAGATTTGTAGACTATTACATTTGTGGATATCAAACATATCAATTAGCAACTTGATCACCACTCTCTTCAAAATGAGTTATTTCACCTCTTACCACATATTAATACATTATCATATGCTGGCTTAACCAATGTCGAGCAGAAATGATAACTTTTCCCTGAATACCTTGTCAGGCATACAAGAATATAGACAATCTCTAGGATTCTGATTTCATCAGTTAAGAAGGAATTTTCATCACAAAGGCTGGAAAAGGCCTGGACTTGAGATCCTCTCTTGTTTACGTAAAAATTGAGGCTGTATATTTCACATGCACTCATATACCCTGTGAAATGTGCTAAGCATTGTCACTTTTTTCCCCCAAAATAAATGAATAAAATGTTTAAAACTTTAACTATAAATCCAATAAAATACCTACCATTCCTTATTCCACTATTCCCTACTCACCACAGCTATATTTGTCTTTGAAGCCCAGTCTGGCCAGTAATCACCTACTTAATAACCATGCGTAGTTTTTCTATAGTCTGCAAAACAAAATCCAAATCAAATCCTGTAGCCTGTCATTTATGATTTTTCCCAACAGATGGCCTCAGGCTTATTCACTATTCACACATAATTTCCAGAAAGCATCACAACTTGCTATTCTTCCAAATAAGACCCATACTTCATAATTGCTGGGTCTTTGCTCATTTTCTTCCTATCCTCAAATTTCTTTCTTTTCCCCACTGCTTAGCAAAAGTCTATTCATTTTTCACCTCAAAGGCAACTTCCATGATAAATTTGTTCTTAATTCCCAAATCAAAAATGAGTTGCACTTTTTCTGAATTCTTTGGAAAAGTTTCTATAAAACTTATCTGATATATTTACAAACATCATCTTATTTATACTTTGTTAAAATCCAAGAGGAAATAATTCACATCCAAGCCCTCAGTATGCTGCTACTGAAGAAACTGATGGTTAGGAAATAGACTCAGGTTAAGCATATACTAAAGACCAGAAATTGGGTTCAAAATAATTTAGCTAAATCCAAAGTGTGAGCTTTGTGTTAATGATAGTAGGTGACTTTTTTTTTC